ATATTTAGGTAAAGCTTATAACTTTTGTAAAGTTTAAGTTATACCATTTTCTACGTAACCACTTACAAATATATTAAATACTACGGATATTTTCGCATGAGTGTAACTGACTACGCGTATTGTTATTGATAAGCCTCAAATGTAATTACTTGAACGCCGCTTTATTAATCACATGTTTAATGCTTTCTGTCATTTCGTTGCCACTTCTTTTCATTACTGCCCATTCAACTTATTCAACCGTTGAACTGTGCTCATCCGAGTGCATGCCCATATACCATGCCTTACCGTGGCTCCGACCATACCACACCATACACACCATAGATACTATATCAAATGTTACGTGATAAAACGTAATGAAATTGAAGTCTACGTTTCTCACTTACAATTGCACATTAAATTAATTAAAATCGTTTGTTTTGCTTTCATTTTTGTTTTTATTTCGCTGTTCACACTGAGCTTTAAATTTTTAACATTTTTAATGTATTTCACTGCGCGGTTTGGCGCTTCTCAAATTTGTGGGATTTTTTGATAAGTAGCCAATAATGAATTCATCACGTGCCCGCTATTAGTCTGTTGGCTGAGTTATTCTGTCTTAACCAGGCTTACAAACTACAAAAATAATTGTTTACTTACAATTTCTATGACTAATTCCAACTGTTATTCACATTTGGTTGTGATTTTTAGTTACGTAAGGCAATGGATGTTTTTCAGGGTTGCTCGATAAGTAGGTTATATTTAAATTTTCTAGTATATGTTTTGGCAAGAAATTAATTTAAACTAGCGGCATAGATTTATTTTAATAATATGTGTTAATAATGTAAAATATTTAAAGAATACATGATGCATATTACTTACGTTACAGGTGTGATGAGTGATAACATAGGTAACATTTTCTCAATTATATATATTTTCCACAAAAATGAAAATAAAAAATAGGTTCTTTACAAAATAATACTGTCTCAATACATTCCACTACTAATAAAATGCATTACATTTTTATAAAAACGTCTCAACAGTATTTACTAAAGTAATTAAATCAAATATTTTAAATGTTCTCATTATATCTTTCAAACAAATATTATATGTATGTTGCAAAACAATAATTAGACCACAAAATAAATTGATTAATTTGTTTAATATATTTTGTATACAAAACGACATCATTGTTGTTGCAAGTTTATTGTTTTAAATACTGCAACTGCTTAACATATATTGAAGCATTGAAATTTAAAATTTTTGAGCCGAGTGTGTAAGTTTATTGATATTTTAGATAATACTGGGATAGTTTTTTTTCGTTAGGTTGAAAGCACCAAAAGCCTCAAAAGCTAAAAGAAAGTGTTAGATTAAAATCACTTCTTATGAATGAATAATGAGGATTCCAGCCATTGACAGTAAAGGTCATTGTGTTGAAAATCTTTTTTTTTTGTCTTATAATTACAGGAGATTTATGGGGTGAATATATATAGTACTAAGAGTTCAACTAAGTCAGAAAATAAGAACAATAATTAGTGAAGAATACAAGTGAACAAAAGAGTTCGGATTGGAATTGTATTGAACTGTTTAATTTTTCATGTTTACCCATTTTTAGTGCTGTCAGCTATCACTTTTACCTGTTTTTTCTTTCTTATCTATTTCTTATTCCATTTATGGTGCTTTAATGTAACTCTGATTTAAATTTATTTTACTCTTATATATAAGTTGTTCATTTTCATTATTTTCGAGAACGGGCACTTTTCGCTTTGCGGGAATACCACCAATATCAAAAATGTGGTCATTCAAATAGTTTAAATTATATATCAGTTTTTAGTCCTTTGAATATTCTTAAGTTCGATATCTAACACATCGTTGGCCAAATGAGCTCGAAAATTATAATTATTAATTTTTTGGAAAATTTTCCATCAGTTCTGTGGAAATCTATAATATTTGTTTATTGTATAAAAATACTTTACAATTGAACTAGCTTTTTTTAACATAATTTATCGTTTATGACGCACTCTGTTTCACTTATCATAATTTAAATCGAGTTTATGAGTTTTTGGTCGTGGTAAACGGTGTAAGACAGATTTTCGTCTTCTTTAGAGAACAAAAAGTTGTGACACAATAATGTATTAAATTAAGTGAACCCGATCTTAAAGATACTATTACTTATCCAAGTAAACATGTTTTGATTATAACTTACTAGAGCATCGCATAGGGTCTGAATAAGAGAAGAGTTTGCCAGAGTGCAACAGTCAGAGGACGCCAAAATTATTCGAAATATTTCAATTTACTACTATTTACAGAATTAAAATATTATTTTTTCAGACGATATCGGGTTACTGAGTGTAATTAGAAACATTTCGCAAAATAATTCAAATAGTTAAACGAAACCTTTGAAATCATTGTTTCTCTAATAATAATACTGTTTAGTGTATATACTTTTTATAAGATAATAACTTATTAACTTATCTTTGACAAAAAAATAAAATAAATTTAATAAAAGATGCAAGACAGACAAATTTTTAATTAAACAGTAAAAATATATTCAAAATATTTATTTATATAAGATAGATGAACAGTACAATATTTTACAAAGGAAAGAGCGGATAGTAACTTGAGAACAAGTTCTCAATCGTATATATAAAATTAAATTCCAAATTCACGATAGTTTTTAGTCTTCTAGAAAAATAAATTATATATATAAAATGATAAATGTCTTTAATTAACCATTTACCAATCTTTTACAATTAGTGGATATTACAATAGTATAATAATGTCCGCTTATTAAAATAATTTATTTTAATTATAATGAAAATTAAAGTGGAATTAATTAAAAACAATTGCGCTGTTATTTTATTTGTCGCTTTAGAATTATCATTTTTTATCAATTCTTCAATTCTCTTCAATTTAATTCACGCCGTATCTTTGAAATATATATGTTCTTAAAGGAATTTTAATTCTAATAGAGACGAAGTGTGAACACAATTGAAATATTTTATTTTAATTTATTTTATTTAAAATATTTTAACTTTAGTGTTATTTTTTTAAAGTTCTCTATTATTATAAATAGAGTATTTATTACAGAATTCAAGGTCAAAACTAAAAGTGCTACCATTTAAAAACGAAATAAAATGAATGTATTTAAATAGCAATTATCGCATTTAAAAATGACTAATTAAGTTATGGTAGTTTGTTTACTTCAGAAAAAAAAAATAAAAATAAATAAATGCACAATACAATTACCGATTTAAGTAGGTCAATGGACTTCAGGCACACATTGTACATTTTAATTATATTTTTAAATTGACTTTAGAGGTTTGTAATTGAATTTAGTTTAATATAAATCATCTCAATTTTGTAATGTAATTTGTAGATGGGGAAATGAACTTTATCTAAAAAAATTGATATTATTAACGAGAAGTGATTTTGTTTTTTAATAAAAAATTCAGGTTAATACAATGCTATGGTAGAAGAAAAAAATTACGTGTGCTAATTACTACTACCAGTATTAGCTTCTGCAGTCTGTTTTATAACTATCAGTCATCATAAAATTGAATTCTTCACGTATTGTGATCTTTAATTTACATTTTAAAAAGTGTTGAAATCCTTTTCCTTTCATCCAAAACAATAGGCAATTAAGATCACGTGCTGTGATCTCTAATTTGTATTTTAAAAAATCTCGAAATCCTTTTCCTTTCCTTTCTTTTCCTTTCGCCCGAAACAATAGCCGAGCTACTAAATTTGCAACAATAACGGCAATAGTATTATCATAATGCAAATTAAACCCTAAACTAAGTATTGCAACCTAATTATGTCTAACGCTAAATATGGTACATTTTCCTGAAGCCAATCATTTATATTTGTCTAAAAATAATCTTATTTTCTTCATATTTTAGTACAACCCCATCCGTTTGTGAAATTTTTTTTCTTCTAATATATATATTGAATCCTTTAACTTCTAACTCCTAGTGTAAATCTTTTCTATCAGAATATATTTTAAGTTTCTTTGAAGAATTCTTTGGAGGATGCTTGCGATATGCTACATAGCTATATTCTAGCTTTCGGTATGAATCTGAAATACTAGTATCATTTGTTATAAATGATTTAATTAATATGTATCACTTTCAAATTTTTATGGACGGATTCGATATGGAATTATGGAACATTTTTTATGAGAATGAAAGCAAATAAAACAAAGAAATTTCAAAAATGTTCTACTTAATCTTTACAAAATTTAAGTTCTAATCGACTTTAGTCTATGTGAAATGCCTTTCTTCCTCTATCTCAACGTTTATTATCAATTAAGTATTAATGGCTCTAATAAAGCTTTGCATTATAGAAAATAAAAACTATATAATTTTAATTTAGAGATCTAAATATTATTCCGACAAAATCCGACTTCATGACTCAGTTTTATTTCTTATACATATGTAGACTTTCACCAAATCCCTTTGATATAAAAAATTGTGCTATTTAAATACTTAAATGCTTTTATTAATTTTTATCATTTTTTATTTTTTCTACGACTTTCTGATAAAAATATTAGACATTATTGTCGCCTTAAGAAAATATTGTAAATTTTTATCATTTTACACATTCCAGTCAGTATTAGAAATATTTAATTTTATCAAACATTGTGTATATTAATATGTATCTAATAAGTTTCGAAAAGATATAAAAAGCAAGATACTTTTATGACATCATAATAAATTATAACAATAATAAAAACTGAGAAAAAATATTTACATTCATTAATTTAATTTTAATTTAGCGACTTTGAGGTGTTTTTTAATTGCTGGAACTATGAGAGAGAATCGCTAATTGCATTTGATAAACAGTTTTGCGACACAAAATATTTATTTTTAATGAAAATAAATATAGAAAATAAATTATAATGTTTAAGATAATAAATTATAATTAAATATATGAAATTATACATAGAAAACACTAATAATAATGACATAAAATCTATAATTAACCATATTTAACTAAAATCTTTTAAATATTGTCTTTATTTGCAGTTTGAATTTAATTGCGGTAACTGTCAAAATCGTTGGAAAAAACTAGAAAGCAAGAAAATGGCTGACACCATTAACAAACCAAAATTGCAATTACGTACCGGCGTTTCAGTAAACGGCGACAAAACACCATCACCGGCGACGAAGCTCTTAATTAATCATGGTAAACCCAATTTCACCATTTCGCGTAGTAACAAGTTGCAACAAAATGGCGACAGCAACGACAGTAACAACAACAATAACAACGAAAATGGGTACACAAATGGCAACAACATTAGCAACGACTTTATTGTGAAGAGTACCAAATTCAACGGGGTCTTCAAGCCTGCCAATGTTACCGTAGAGAAACAAGTGTCCACTGAAAATGAGGGCATCAAAGTAGTGCTTAGGCCGACAAAAGTCACGGAATCTGTAGCAGTGAATAACGGCACACAAGAAAATGAGGCTGCCAAAGTAGTGCTAAGACGAGCCAAAGTTTCAGAACCCGCTCTTAAAGATGGTGAAGATGACTCTGTGCCTGAATTTATACGTAGACAACGCAGAATACAAGAACGTTTGACTAAAGAGAATATTTTGGATTTCGAAAATAGACGTAGCGGTTACTTTACACATGTAATGATATCGCCTACTGCTACTACAGCTAATCGCACATCTTTTGTTGAGACTATGTCAAGTCCAGCTATAGTGCCCGCATTAGAAATACCACCACCAATTCCAAAGGCGCGTATTGACCCATCAACATTGTTAGAAGAGGAAGAAGAGAAGGTTGTAGATCAACGAGCAGAAACAATCGTACCAGTCGCAACAAATGGTTATATCAATGATGAGGAAGAGGTTGCTAAAGCTATAGAGGAAGTTAATAAAGCTGTAGCTGGTGAAGATGATGATAAAATAATTGAACTCGAGCAAGAAACCGGTGAAGTGAAAGAAGAAAGCCATGAAAGGGTATTAGAGATCCAAGCTGAAGAAAAACCTACTGCTCAACCAGTAGTTGATGCAGTAGTTGTTGCTGTCACAACTGCAGCAGTCATTGATGAACCAACCAAGATTGTAGAAAACGAA